TTCATGCTATTTTTCGTTTATATGTAGGCTTTCAAGACTAACAGAGGATCAACACATGCGATCTATCCACGCTATTTGATAAAGGTGATGAGTGGCTGCAATATGAATTTTCCTGCAATTATATGAATAAACCTCACGTTTCAATAAAATTGCACATAGCCTTGTTGCCTAAAACGTATTATCCTTTATGCAGGAGTGGACTGCAGTTTTCACCTCACATAGGTCTCATCCCAATTCCTAGCGGGACTCTAACCGTGATAATGTAGCGTATAATATTGACACGTTGACTACTACGCCAGACTACCACAATTTCATTTTTGTCACAGGACAGATGTACACTTTAAGGAGGTCCGGGCATTTTTCCGTTTTACATTCTGTGGTGGGATCGTCGATCATGCAAAGTTTTATTTGCTATAGTAATCGATTACATTACTTATTTTTAGTGTATAAGTAGGTTTACCAGAAATAATACAAATACAACTTTGCTTCATCGACAATCTACAACATAATGATATATGAAAAAATGCCTGGCCTTTCTTGAAATTCACATCTGCCCTGTAAACCAAGGGCACTCGTGTCAGTGTGGTGTAGAGGTCAACGTGTCGAGACTATACGCTGCATGACCACAAGCCGGGTTCGAGTCCCGCTGGGGGGTGCTGAGGAGACAAAGGCAATGTCAAAACTACTGTTTACTCCAGCTTGGATGTAAATATCTTTTTAAGAGGCAAGGCTAGTTTAAAATCAATGGAAATATCATATTTATTCACAAGATTTTGGGAAAATTCTACTATCAGTTTTTTATTACCTTAAACCAAATAGAGTGAAAATATCTCATATTGTGCACGTCGTTTTGCCTTCCGATCGGTGGAGGCGGTATCCGGAGCTATTAGCATTGTCTTTTTTCTTCTTTTCCTTTCACAATCATACAATCTGCCCTTTCGCCTATTGGCCATGTCGCCTGCATCTGTTGAACACCAGTTAGTGACACCAACTCAGGCTGTACCGTACACAGGCAAACAACGCCCGCCCAACACCGACCAACAACTGGTCTTGTGGGGCATGGCGAATCCGTGGCGATGGGCTGCCAGGGACACCGCTAAAGACGACCCGAAACTGCAATTGACCAAAGCAGCACCGGCTCCGGCTGCCACATGTCTGGCGATTGCAGCACAAACACAGGCCTTCTTGATTGGTTTCGTCGATGGAACCGTCTGCCAGCGAGCTCGTGGCACTGGGGAAGATATGAGCAGACGTGGTCGTGACAGTGGAAGTCGACCTGGCAACTGGTCGACTGATGTGTATCCGAGGCAGTTTGAGGGAGGCCGGCTTCACGGAGCCGTTGCATGCATTGATGTGCATCCCTCAAGGGCGGATTGTATGGTAGTTGGTACGTCGTTTACGCACATTCGCAGTCCAGTTTTGGAGCATAAGTCCCTTTAAAAGGAAATAAGTCAGCCTCAATCGGATAAGGTGGTTTATGGACCTATAATGGAATCTTTTACTACAGTGTTGTCAATGGGTCTCAGGGTACCATTGAATTTCACTTGGCCTTTCAACCGTAAATGTTTTATATAAGTGGGTTGACCTCGTTGTCGCAACTTGGCCTTGTTGTCAGGGTGACTATGTAGAACGCACCTAGTCCGAAGTCGTCTGCCATAGTAGTTGTCATGATTC